TTACCGCAGATTTCGAACCTGCGACTTCGGATGTTTATAGCACATGGCGGTTAATGCGCCATTCTCTACCGCTTAAACTAGCGGTCGGCGGCAGCCTATAGCTTCCTAACTGCAAATATTCCCTCGCGAAAAGTCAAACGTAAAAGTCAAAGTCAAAGAATAATAAAAATTTGGTAAATGGATAGATAGGGTACTTAAACATAAGTAAAGCTGTTCTGAGATCTCTCTAAAGGTTGTGGTGGTGGTGGAAGTGGGTGGTTGACAAAAAGAGTAAAATGGTGGTGGTATACTGGTGGTGCAATGATAAAATGGAGTTAGAAATATATGTGATATTTGGAAATGCAATTGAGCTGATTTGCCTTTGGTGTGATATTGTAGGTCTTTCAGATGGATTTTGTTGTTTGGCAGTTTGTTTCTTTGTATTGCAGTGAAGTTATTAGTCTTTGGCTTCACATCAGTCTTTTGGATGGATTTGGCCCTTTGGATATTTGGTTCATTGGACTGCAGTGAAGTTTCTGTCTTTCCAACTTTCCATCTTCCCAGATTTCTGGCTATCTCATGGCTTTCTACCTTTTGCACAGCTTTCTGTCTTTCCTGATTAATATTTGCAGTTAGGAAGCTGTAGGCTGCCGCCCAGTCAGCTCTTGCATCTTTAATGATCTCACATTCAGGATCGCAAAGTTACACCATGCCTAGTAATTTCATAATTCCAACCTGCATAATGCATTCTCACTCTGATGAGATTGGCGGGACAAACAACGAAGAAGCATAGCAATAGAATTGATTACCACAAGTTTCGAGTCTGTGGCTTCAGGTGTTTATAGCACCTGAATAGCGTTTAAAGCATCTACCAACTGAGCTAACGTTCGGCTCTTGTATGTTAGATTGATTTCATGGTGCTTATGTTAGCTGTCAAACCACCATGCTGAGAAGGTTCCTCACACAAAGTAATCGTATGTATCTGGTTTGTGGCACATTCTGGTAGGAAAAAAGAGGGATAAACGGCGAAGAGTAAGAGAACAGTGAAATAGTCATTATTATAGGCTTCGTGCCTGCGACTCCGAGTGTTTACAATTCTACCCCCGAATGACGCTTAACCTTGGAGTCCAGCAGCGAATTTCAACACCAATCTAGTGCGTAAAATATGCAGTAGGACAAGAGTATAGATTGATTGCAAAAGAAGTGATTATCGCAAGTTTCGAACCTGCACCGGGTGTTTAAAGCATCCTGGGATTTACAGCACCTGGTGTTTATAGCACTTCTGGCACCAACTAAGCTAAGTGAATAGTTCTTGTGTATTACATTATTTTACAAGATTGCAAAATCACCATACACCATTGTAGAGTACATACTAACAAGGCTCTCCCGGTTTGCAGAAAAGAATGGAGTAACAAAAGATAAATAATACTAGGCTAGACTCTAAGTATAATAGAACAAGAGCATAGGTGCTTAAAAAGCAAAAGAAGCGATTATCACAGGTTTTGAGCCTGCGACTTTTGGTGTTTATATATAGCACCATACTTAGGTTAACGTTATTAATACAGGGTTCGAACTTGCAAGTGTGCTTAAAGCACCGAATCATTCTGTCAACTAAACTAATCGTTCAGTTTTTTATTGCTGTTTTGACAGGTCCATACGGCAAAATCAAGCTCAAGTCGTGTGCCAAGTACTGCCTTACCATCATCATCACCATCACAGTTTGAGCATGAAGAAAATGAACGGCACCTTTGTCTTCATTATCTCGCAGGACAATCCGGCGATATGAATCAGATATATTTTACTCTGGATCTGTGGCAAAAGAATGATTGATGATCAATGCAGGTTTCGAACCTCCACTAGTCTTACAGAACCTGGCGTTTACAGCACCCGCCTGGCGTTTAAAGCGTCGTGCTCTCTGCCAAAAAATTTGGGCTGTGAGCTCTTGTATTTCATGATTTACAGATCCTTGGGTAAGAGCGGAACTAGGACTGGTATCGCGATGCACGGTTGATTGTGGGCGACTTGGTAAGGATCGTACGGCCGAGAGCATAGCAAAACAGTTGGTTTGATTATATTAGTACTGAAGCCTACGGTTTCGGGAGTTTGTAAGTATATTAACAATTCCGGAGACGGTGCGCTGAATCCAGCCAAATAGCAGTTAATATCGATAGTGACTGTGACTGGCTATGAAAATTCAACGCAAACCCACTCTCCACTTCTGTGGGGTGGCACGGTTTGGAAGCTATGAGGCAACTTGTAGTGGAAGTGCTGGGGATAAAGTGTATTTAAATGACATGGCCACAAACGGCAGGATACAATATGATTACAAACAAACAAACCCCCCACTTCTGCATCCATAAAAATAAGTTATCCCCATTACCTCACATGCCCATATATGCTAGTATACCCACAGGTGCTTTCGGAGGGTGTGAATATACCCTCGCCGGAAACTTCGTCAATCCACACCATAACATCCTCGCCAACCTCCGACTTTGCAAACCTCTCGGCACCCTTTGACGACACGCACAGGTACACGCCACCACCAGAGACGTCGTTGACTGTTGAAGGGTGCACCATTTTCTTGGTATCCGTGTTACAAAGGACCCAACGTTGAGGAGTGGCATAGAGCGGATGTGAAGGTGTGTTATCTGTCAGCATCTTCGTGATTGTGTTGTCCAGCGAATGAGAAGATGTGTCGTCAGGCAAAATCATTGTGACCAGCTTCTCCAGTGGCGATTTCTGGGTGTATTTAGCAAACAGATTGGAGGGGGAATGAGAGAAGACGCCACTTTGTTAATACCCAGCTCATATGGGATCATATGGGGGGGATATAGAAGGTGAGCATTTTTGAAGACAATTTTCGGACTTTGTAAACGTATGCGGCGGCAAGACCAAGCAGTAGCAGGATTAGGACAGGTACAAATACGCTTTGGTGCTGTGCGGAAGCGTTGATCGGCATCGGCGCTACCGTCACCGTTGGGGTTATCGTTACCGCCTGCACCGCCGTCACCGTTGGGGCTATGGTTACTGCTGCTACCCTCATCGTTGGGGTTATCGTTACCGCTACCCTCACCGTTGAAGTTAACGTTACCGCCTGTGCCGCCGTCACCGTCGTCCCTCGCGTTATCGTCGCCGTCACCGTCGCCGTTCGCGACATTGTTACCTCCGCTGTTGCCGTTCGCGTTGTTATTACCGTCGTAAAAACAACACTGTCGTTCAACATATCAATTATCCATTTCCGCACGCGCTCCTCACTACCATGAATGATTCCATTGTCATAAAACTTAGAAGCCCCCTTTGCCGAAAGGGCCAAATACGTTGCGCCTAGCTCAATATAATCATGCGCCCCAGTTCTGTAGATCAGCTTCCGCTTTCTCTTCCCGCTCGTGATGTCGATAAGAAGCCAGTCGTCATTTTTAGGGTATCGGCCTTTGCGGTCGGCGGAGGTTTTGGATACAACCTCTGAGATAATCTTATTAAGGTCCTGGGGTTATTAGACAGCAGCTAGGTCAGGTTGGATAGGGACGCCGAACCTTTCTTCGCTCGAATATGATCTCCATGGGTATTTTGTATGGGGGGATATAGAGGGTGAACCTTTCTGTAGAATTTTCGGCGCCCATTGCTTGAAGTTGTAACTGTTATTGCTGTGTCCTGAGGAGTGGAGATAGCTAAGGAATGTTTAATCTGTTGTGCGGCTGACTTCTTCCCGTCGCCGGTCTGCTACTTTGGGGCACTTGTAGATCATAGCTCTCACTCGCATGGAATCCATCTTTGCTTTTGGGTTCTGAGTGTATGAACAGCCGTCCCCCCCATCTCTCTTCTTATTCCTATTGCTCTTTCTCTTTGCTCTGAACTATGTAGTAGTGGATCAAATAGAATAAACCCGCTTTCATTTTGCTAAAAGATACACAACCCATTTTGCTCCGTAACTTGTTGACTGTGGTGTCTGATCATGACTACTCACCTCGTACCCAACCGCTCATGCTCCAGCCCGATAAACGTCCCGTCTTCACTACTACCAGGCGTTATAAAATTGCCATCGTTACTCGACATATCACTTATCCACTTCCGGACCCGCTCCTCGCTTCCATCTTGTCCTTCCCCATCGCTGAATGCACCACGCGGGAGCTCAGAGACCCCTTGGGTCGAAAGCACCAAATATTTCGCACCCGGCACGATGTCCTGTTGCACATCGGGTCCTTTAGGGATTGCATTCAGCTCCTTCTTCCCATTGGTGATATCGATAAGCATCCAGTCGTTCTGTGTAGGATAACGATCACTGCGTTTTTTGGTCTTGGAAGCAATGTCGGAAACATGTTTTGTAATCGTTGAACTGAGGTCCTGGTGCTGTTAGCGAGGAGAGTGGTTGGATTGAAATACGAACTTTACGAAATTTGATCGGTATTGGCAGGCTGGAGGGGGTGGATAGCTTGATCTTGATGGGTATCCCAATGGGCGGGATGTAGAGAGTGAACTCTTCTAAGAGAATTAGAGACCAACGGACCCGGTGGCAGGAGGTACAAACCTGGTTGGTTGGCTGCAGGAGCCGCTGTAGAACTAGTTTTGCCCGCTGGAGAACTACTGTCATCAGCTGTACCTCTACTTTCCATGGTTGAAGCTGTGGCAGCGGAAACGATGTTGCCCATGACTGGTGGTATTTAGTGTCTGTTTGCTTCGTGTCTTAGGAGGTGGAGAGAATGCTTCAGGTGGTGGGGGGGGGGGAGGGCGATGAGTGTTACGATGGATGGGGGTTATGGTGGATGGGTGTTAGACGCCAGCTGCGCCACACTGATTGTTTTCGTCGCCGGTCTGCAATGTGATACAAGAGTGACGGGTTATGAGCAACAATACACCTTAGTTACCTCCGCAGTATCTGAATTAATTAACCTAATACCAGGCCTCGCTCTTGAGAGATATTTAACAATAACTCAAGCCCACACACCCTTCAAACATCGTCTTTTAAACATACTATATAGCTTTACAATTTATAATAGTAAAATTAGAAAAACCCTGATAACAAAGGCGTTGTGTCCCAGTGGTTAAGGAGAGAGATTGGGGATCTCTTGGGTTTGCCTGCGGAGGTTTGAGTCCCATCGATGTCGATATTTTTGCCCGACCTTCGTAGTCTCGAGTAGTATACATTTGCATCAATTTTATCAACTCAGAACGTTGTTCTCTTGGGGACACGAGTTTGGAAAATCATACATGAAAATTATGGATTAGGGTTGACTGAGCTTGTGAAGTCAGTTTGTTTTATTCACACTGTATTCACTCTAACTAGAGTATGACGGAGCCCATAACACTTCCGCCTTCGGACGAGCCGGCTAGATGGCGGAACTCCCACCCGTTACCCTTCGTCCCCTAATTGTGAAGTCAGTTGACGGATGGTTAACGAGCGCAAGGGTTGACCAGACTCTCACGAGTGTAGGGAATCAGAATTAGTGAACTCAATAACTGTGCCCAGTGTCCGGGTTGGGCCATGGCTGTGTGGGCTGTTGAAACTGCCCTGTTGCATATATACATCAGGATCTTGTATGATCATGACTAACGGGCCAGAAGGCCATGGAAATGTCTGTCCTTTGTTTGGAGTATCTAGAATGTTTGTGTCTTTGTTTCTTTGTCTTTGGGTTATTGCCTCAGGGCTTTTCTTTGTTGCGACACTAGTATATATATAGAGGTTGTCTACTCTCTAGACCTTAATGCAATCTAGGTTCTTTTCATCACTCTAAATAACAGGTTATGAGCCCGGCAGTTGCAATCATCTAAAAATCTATTATCCCTGCCTGAAACACTCTATACCTCTTTTAGTTACTCCTCATACTATAATCACGTCATCGAACTTTATCTGTACCACTGAAACCCCGTCACCCTAGCAACGACACTAAAACATCAAAAGAAACGACCTAATTCGAACTCAATACCACCACGAAGAAATCTCATGATGTCTACTCCAACCTCCAACCACCCGAACTACAACAAGACCCAATGGGGTAACGTCCCCCTTTTTACTCACCTTAACTATGATTTATGGGTAGAGACCATGATACTCGTTTTCGAAGCCATGGGAGCATACAACATCATTACTGGAGAAGAACCTGAACCCCAGATACTCGATATCGACTATACCAATTGGAAGGCCCGAGAGGCCCAGGCCGCCACCTCCATACTACTCTCCTGCTCTCTGGACGTTAGAAGCTACCTCAAGGGCGTGCAAAGCCCACAAATGATGTGGCACACTCTTAAAGAGCGCCTTGATAATACAACAACACACATCGGGTGAACTGTACTTCTCTCCAAATTCCGCGCAACTCGACCTCAAAAGGATCAACCACTCCAAGATTACTTCAATAAGCTCCGAGATTTCTGCCATCAGCTAGCCGGATCGACCAAAGCCATCTCTGATGATGAACTTCGCACACATATATATACCACTTGGCCAGGACAGTATGCTATGACGGTAAAAATTTTACTGCGTCAAACTCCTATTTGAACAGTCGAAGAAGTCATCGACACTCTAAAAGAGGACGAAGGAACTACAGCCATCCCCAATTAAATCGGAGACACCACCACCGGATCAGCATTCTATACACAACGAGGCGGCTTCAAAGGCCGAGGCCGTAGTTGTGGCCGTGGCCATGGCAACTGGCAACGCTACGGAAATTGGGGAAGAGAAACCAACAATAAAGATGATAATGAATACCCCAGCATGTACTGCAAAATGAATAACCGTAGCACCGAGAATTGTTGAATCCTCAAGCGGCGCGGCACATACAGCAGCAGCAGTGGCTTCAAGAAGGCAGACGACAGGTTATGCTTCTACTGCAAAATACAAGGTCATGGTAAAACCGAATGTCACGTACGCCAGAGAGGGCGCGACGCCCAAAATAAGGTCATGAAACTAAACACTGGCAGTAACGACAAAATGGTGGAAGCAAATGCAACACTGGCCTAGCATGGCATCTCCGCTGGAGAAGACCTTTCTCACTATCCAACAACACTGAACAAGCCACCATTGGCCATACCGCATATGTCGCCCTGTCCATAGCAAATGCTTTATCCTCCACAATTATCTCCACAACCTGGATTGTAGATTCAAGTGCTTCTCACCACATGTGTAACGATCGTAACTTGTTCGTTTCCTATAAAAAACTGGCATCTCCAATCTCCATTAAACTCAGAGATGAAACAACGGTAATAGCTACCCACCATGGTCTCATTGACATATCACAGCAATCGACTACTTTACGACTGAAAGTACTCTATACACCTACCTTTTGTTCATCTTTACTTTCAATCAACCAGCTTGACCGCTCCAACTACACCACTACCTTTCGCCAAGGCCTTTGCTCCATATCATTGAGCACAATCATACTTACTGCAAATCGCGTCGGGGATCTCTACTTTCTTCAATCACACGCCGATGCACTCAACTCCGAATCTAGCGGGAGCCAGCCCACAAGTGGACCTACTTTAACTATTCTCACACCAGACAAATCATTGATTACCTCTTGCCTGTGGCATTGTCGATTGGCCCATCTATACTCTGCTGCAATAAAATACATTATTGACAGTGTGGGAGAAAACCTGTGAAAAGGATTGTCGCATGGCAGCGACCAATAGGAGGCTGCTAAAGAGCGGCTTTATTTTGAGAAGTGTTGGGAGGGAGTAGCCCCAGCGAGATGATGCTTGATTGGCTATGAAACTCTAAAACTAAGAAACAAAAGAGAGAAAAAGAAATGAGATAAGATGGTGATTGGAGGCGTGTCGCACAGGTCTATATAAAGTCTGAACCCCTGGCGATGGCGCAAGGCAGAGCCTCAACAACCCTAACCCAGCACAAATCCAATAATCTCGTGGATTTAGTGGTGGTGTCAAGGTTTCTAGGCTCGTAGTTCCAGGGGTTCTAAAAACCAAACGTAAGGGTGCAGTGATCGCGGGTATTGCGTAACAAACTAGAGACTCGGAATCCGGAATCACAGAAGTGAACAGAGGTTGGTGCCGAAGCTATTGATTGTTTTGTAGACTAGAGAACGAGTGAAGAACAAACCTATCCTCCGCGAATCCAGCATCCTTATATACAGTTAACGCGACCGTCGTCACCTTTGTTCACTCGTTCCGAAATACATCCTAACTCCACCCAACTATGTACGCAACCCTTTCAGTCCGTGGCCTACGCCACAACCATTACGCCATATTTACAACACAACCAACAAAACCTGATTGTTTCCAACGAAACCTGATTCCAACCAACGAAACCTGATTTCCTTCGTATTCCTGTATCCCAATCATCGATCCATATTCCTCCCTCGATCCTCACTCGACACAACCGTGACAGTAGCTCCCCCTTCCACAGCCCGAGTTCCTACAAGGCTATTGATCCGGGTTTGCCAGGTTGTTCTTTGTGGAATACATCAATTACTTGAAGTCCGTCCACATTGATTGCCGGTTCCCAACTTTGTTCGTCATAGCCTTTCCACTTGACTAGGTACTGCAGTTGTCATCGAAATATCATCGAGTTGTCGATGCGTTCCACTTCGTATTCTTCTTCTCCGTCCACAATAACTGCAGGTGGTGCGGATTCGATTTGCCCTGGCAAGGGATCTTCCGATACTTTAATCAAGCGGGAGATTGGTTGTACTGGATGAATGTGAAGATCCTTGGGTAACTGTAACTGATAGGCCCATGGACTGATGGCCTCCGAAATCTCGTAGGGTCCCAGGCATTTCCAGTCAAGTTTCTTGTTGGGTCGTTGTGTTGTAATATTTCTGGCGTCCATCCAGACTCGATCTCCAACCATCATCTGCACTCCCTCCCATCGATGCTTGTCCGCTTGTTCCGCCTGGATATCTTGCGCTCGAGTCATTTCAGCCTTCATCTGTTGGAAGATATCGTTCATTTTCTGGGAGGGGGTGTTTGCGTTTACTTCCCTGATATCGTTTCCATTCTGAATCGGATGTTGACTAAAGGTCATTCTTGGGTGAAATCCGTAATTGCCAAAGAATGGTAGCATCCTGTTGTTTCCGAGGCGTGAGTGTTCGATGCAAATTCTGCCATTGGTAGTCACTGTGTCCAGTTGTTCTGTTGATAATTGACGAAGGCCCTGAAGTACTGCTCCATAATGGCATTCATTCGTTCTGTTTGTCCATCTGTCTGCGGATGAAACGCGGTTGATAGCCTTCGTTCGATTCCGAGTCTTTCACAAACATGTATCCAGAATTCTGATGCGAATTGGGGTCCTCTGTCCGATACTATGGTGTCTGGTAAGCCATGTAACTTGAACACCTCTCGTATAAACATCTTGCCCAGCTTCTTGCCATCTGTATCGTCCCGATATGGTACTAAATTTTCATTTTTGACAACCTAGCAACCACTACCCATATGGCGTTGTACCCCTCGCTCTCCGGTAGTCCCACCACGAAATCCATACTCAGATCCTTCCACGGTTGTTGTGGTATTTCCAGTGGTTTGAGCCATCCGTGGATTTTCTGGTGAGTTGCTTTGCTGCGTTGACATATGTGGCAGTTTCGTACGTATCTGTCCACATCCTTCCTCATACCTGGCCATTGATGACTTCTTTTGAGGAGTTCGCAGGTTTTTGCTCATCCTGGGTGTCCTGCTGCCGGTGTATTGTGTATCCTTTATCATTGAAGTTTTTCGAAGTTTCTTTGCTGACGATTTTCGTGGTGTTGGCACACAGTCCTTCGCTGCTGTCATACGGGCAGTCCTTGCATATCCTTTGAATCCAGTTCCATAACTCCTCTGGACTAGTTTCATCTGCTTCTCAGCTGACTACTTCCGCAAACGCTACCACCAATCCCTTCTGTATTCTTTGATCAAGATTTTCCGTCTTCAGCACGATTTGTTGGGTTTTTTCTGCCCCCCCTTCGGAGGAATGTCTCCTGGCATTCTGGTGAGTGCATCGGGCTTCTGACCCTGTTTTCCTGGACGGTATATAATCTTGAACTTGAATCTTGACAGAATTCAGACCATCTTGTTTGCCTTCTATTGAGTAGCTTGATGTCATGAAGTATTCGAGTTCTTATGATCTGTCAGTATTTTAATAGGATGTACTGACCCTTCGCATTCTGGTCTCCATTGTTCC